AGACCTGTTGGCTCAGGGCATCTGCTGATAAGATGTATCTCTGAACCGGCAGAAATGGCTCCAGTCATTAAAACATTTTTAAAAGATAAGGGGGAAAAAAGTATGTTTATTTTCAACGTAGTTATTCACACTTCAGTGAACTAAAATTTTGTGTGAAAAAAGCTATATATTTATTAGATTCTTAGGCTTCTTTTGGCAAAATGCACATCCCTCTCCCATATTAGCCATATTGGACTACATCAGAGCACAAATATGAAGTACAAGTGTTGGTTTCTTATTCTCACATACTCTGACGCACAAACAGTGGCCACATCTGTGATGGAGGCAGAGAGTGTCAAGAACACAGATGCACTGATCCATGGCCCCGTGGTGTGTGCTTAGTGATATACCTGGCAAATAATGTATTTATTTTTGGGTGATACATACTGAGCCAATTTTCTATTTAAGAAAAGAAGAAACAAACATTTTGTAGGCCACTCAAGTCATGACTGATACCTCCAAGCTTACCCTTTCAAATATGAAAAGAGGATGAGATTTAAAAAAGGGAACTTAAAACTTTTAGTCTTGTATATGAGGAGGGTGATACTCCAAATTTAACTGGTTGTAGGATGACTCTTCATGAATGGTGTGGAAAAGGAGGCATGCAGATATGATCAGTCTGGAGGAATCGTTTGACAGAAGTTTGAAAGATTGATACAGTGAGTTCAATAAAAGACAAAGAAAGCTGAATATTCTTTTTTTGGATACATTTTTAATTGGCTTTTCGGCTACCGTAGCACCCAATTAGCATACTTGTTACATCCAAACACCAACAGCTAATTGGCTTGTGAGGAGTGAGCAGCGTGGTCCTGAAAGTAGAGACCAGAATTCATTTGAGCATGTGCAGCTCCAACAGTGCCATGTTGGAATGCTATTTTGCACAAAGTTGTGAAGAATATTTTGCTGATACAATTGCAAATATCATTTGTACTTTCCTACAATTATTACTGTCAACAACAACTTACCTTTATGCCCATATATTTCTATCTGAAAATGAGATGCCAATGCTTTGTCGAAAAGCCACGATTTTGCCCATGGTTTTGATGTCCCATTAATCTATAAGATCCTTGGAGGAATTGCTCACAGGCAGAGCTAAACTGTCAGTACACACAAATACCTTGCCCCAGGGTGGACACACCTAAACAACACTTAAAACTCACAAAGTGCAGGAGGCTGAATCTCAGATTACGTTTTCCGTTTGAACTGAAACAGCAAAGATCTGATGCTAAGGACACCGAGACTTCACTGTTCTCTTTACATGCAATTGATCAAACAATGTAAACAAAGCTTGCCTCAGCCACAACAGACACGGACGGATTCCCTAGCGGCAACTCAAGTACGATGCATACAGTACATAGTTCAGTAGATAGAGGAATTTCAAATCAGTGAAAATATAGGAACCATGTCCCATTAAAACAACACAATATTATCTCTCCCTCTAGTAGCACACCTTATTCAACCTATAGTCACCAGTCTTTGTAAAATGTTCAGGAAACATATATATATACAGAATTCACTGTAGGACAATTGAGACAAATACACAAATACGTAAACAAACTGGTACTTCATTCATCCAATTTAGGTGACCATTATTGTTTTAAGTCATAAATCAATAATGTTATAATAATGTCATAATTGATGTCAGAATCTGCACCAACTGAATGATGCCCTCCCTTAACAGTCGCTTTTATACTACCATGACAATTGCAACTGATCGTGATAATATGGTGTGGGAATGCTGTGCTGTTCATCACCCAGCAATGTACACGACTTTTGAGTCTTCTGCTGTCAGTTTAAAAGAAAAACACTGGATGTTGTCTTACAAGCCTTGAAGTTATCATTGTTCTGTTGATATGTTGTTGTTTTTGGGCACAAGTGGTATGAGAGTAATAGGTTTAACTTGGAAACTTAGGAAAAGATATAGTACATATAATATGCGGTAAGCATAGCACTCACTTACTCATACATTATAACAGCTTTTGGTAACAGGGCCTCAGCATGTGAGGTTTTTGCTGTGCACTTGTGCACTTTCTCGTAAAGACCAAACAGCTTGCGGATCTGACCATAGGTGAGCATTAAGGGCACACTGGTGCCCATGCTGCTTGCATGTAACATTCATTGATTTTTGTGTTTCCCGTGAACTAGGCAGTTATAATCTCCGCCTTGCGTTCAGTGGGGGCTATTTTCCTTTTCACCTGTAGGAGTCCTTTTTAGACATCTTTGCAATTATCTGATTGCAACAATGCCAGTTGGTCACTTGCAGTCTTTTTCCTCATTATATTTGGACATTTTCATGTCAGCATTCACCTAAAGACTTTGAATAATTGAAATCTCGGCTAACATGTGTTCCAGAGCTTTGTGGAAAAGCAGATTTTATTTCTGTGGTTTATTTCATTTTCAAAAACAGAGTATAGGCAGTAATTGTGTATTTTGCATGTAGCTTCCAGATATCCTGATCCAGAGATGTAACTACTAGTCACATAAACGCAGTTCAAACAATCCTGAAAGGTTAGTTTTTTATGCTGTGTGTTTACAGTATATCACTTTGCTGAAATAAAACGCCTCTGTAAAACAGGTATATAAAATGTAATAGGCTGTAATTTTAGGATTGGTCATAATGCTAACACAGTAACCAGTATTCTGTCTTTATTGCTATAGGCCACACACTCATTGTCGTACCACTGCCTGTTGCTATACAGACTGAGTCAATTCTGTTTTATGTGGTGATAATTGCTTTAAAAATGTCTGTTATTCAAAATGTATTAGCTACTTATGTGCTCAGTAAGTCAGAGTCAAATCAAGTAATTTCTGTTTTAACTCTGTGGTATTTTAAGAAATTCCACCTCACCAGTTAAGAAACCATGTTGGAAAGAAGCATTTTGGGGTCAAACTGAAATCAGAAGCAGAGGCACCGTCACACAGGTAGAAATGATCACACAGCAATGGGAAGAATAAATATTCCTCTCCATAGGCTTGGCTTTGATCTAACAAAAAACATAAATCAAGCTTAAGGGAGGAAGCCAAACAAGGATCTCATGCTGGTAATGTGTGTTAAACAGTTCAGCTATCTTCAGATCTTATTTACGGATCGGGAAAGGGATGACATTAATGATAGTCAAACATAACTATGCCTACAGATCTAAAAAAAACAACACATACATGTGCCGCATTTATTACAAATATGATAAAGAAAAGCATCTCAGGTGTTGTTTGTATTATTTTTGCAGCTTCCATCCTCTTGAGAGAGAGCCAGGCTTTTTTTTCTTTTTAAATGCCACATGTCTCGTTGGAACAAAATGTGCAATTGGTTGCCTGACAATCATGCAGCCTCAACCGGACTGCACAATCATATCTGCAACACTGTGTGGTGAAGCCACTGAAATTGCAGTATTATACGACTGAACATCTCAAACCATTAGGCCATGACAGTGACAATGAGGCTTGTCCAGAAGTGTCACCTCTCCCAGTGTTTGTCTGTCTATGTCTCTCTTGCACTCCCCTTGTTTTCTCTCTTTCCTTTCCTCGGTCTGTGTGTGTGTGTGTGTGTACGTGTGTCATGCACACTCCCACACACAGAGAGAAAGACAGAACATCTTTATTAGTCTTCTGTATGCAGGCTGTGCTCTGCCTGAGATTGCGGGACTGACCCCTTACTGTGAGATGTACAGGGGAAATGTTTACTCAAACCCCACAGAACATGTCATTAACCTCTTTCTAGACAGACGACAAACAAGTATGTCCCTCCATGAGAGCAATAAAGACAGGAACACCAATCCAGGACTATCATGGCAATCATCTCATTATGAAGCCGCGGGAGGCGATGAGGAGCCTGGGAGCCAGTCTCCCAGGGACACTTTCACCGCAGTTTACCAGTATGCCTAACACTCAGTGAAGTGTCTATGATATGCAGAGAAGTGCAAACAACTGATTAACCTAACAGTCAGGGACAATATGGAGCCCAAAAAATGCATCAACCACCTCTGCCCCTCTTTACAAACTAGTCCATACAGTATGCATAATTTCTTCCCCTTCTCCAGTGTCTCCCGTCTCTCTGCCCCTCCCTTCCTCCCTGGAGATTCAATAGGATATCCTCAAGTTCTGATTAAAGCTTCAACCTGGGAGGTTATCTTGGCGGTAAAAAGAAAAGGAGGGGTAGGGAGGCCCAGTGAGGAGCATTGGTGTAGAGAAGCTGCTCCTTCCTGGGGACCTGCAGATGTAATTCAATCACACCTCGATAATTCCCCCCCGATGTAAGTCGACCCCCCCCCCCATCCTTCCAACGCATAGAGTACAGCACAAGCTCATGCTCATCCCAGACTGAGGGCTTCCTCCTGGGTGGGCTTAAGAGCCCACTACTGGATACATTTTTCCTGTGTCATTTGAAAAGGGCATTATTTTAATTGAAAAAGTTACCAATCTGCCAAAGGCAAATGTTAAAGGAAGACCGGCCAAATAAAACATACACAGAAAAAAATAAACTAAACTAAAAAACTCCAGATGGTGATATACATGATGAAAATGATTGTTAATACTTACTGTTTGATTATATGTGATAATGAGAGTGGGATTCCTCAAGGCAATTAGTGTCTGCGGCAGCCATATTGTGAGAGGACAGTAGAAGGACGGCCCGGGCTGTTATGAAGGAGTGCTTATCAAATATCTCCAGCAGGGTGATTAGTGTAATAAGACACTGCAAGGTGAGATAGGGCACGCTCTTTTGTATGTCTGGGGGTGTATAGCTTCTTTGTGATTGAGGGAAGATGTCTGTTGCAACGAGTGAGAAACTGAGACTTAAAGGGTGTGAGAATCTGAGAAAATAATTATTGACTCCATCAGTTTCAATTTTTGTGTCTGTGCTTGATAGTGTGTCTCAATGTATAATGTGTCCTGACAAGCCTCCACATGTTGGTGAGCCCAACATAATTTCTATGATCTGTGCCAGGCTGGAAGCCCCGAGAGCTTTATCTTGTGACATAGGGCAGACTCAGGACACTTACCCCTGGCAGAGTCTTCTGTTCATGGAGGGCGCTCTGGGCCTTCAGTGCTGACTCTCTGGCACAGTATGTTAGAAAGGCACATCCTACAGCATCAAGGAGACAGGAAAAAGACAGTAAAAGTTTGTTACATGTGAGGAACTAGCAAATTTATCATACACTCATACATTGTGCTTTCAATGTTTCTTCAAAGATCAAGCATCCGTACAGTTCACTTCTGAAACGCTGTATTCAAACCTAAGTATTTCTGCTCCATGCATGGAGGAAATATAAGACTATAATATATAACTATAGGACTCTAAGACTGGAGTTTTACGAGCCATTGGAATTCATATACCACATCAATTGGGATTGTGGCTCTCTAAAATTAATAGCTCCATACCCTCAGAGAAAATACCATGCTGCTTGAGAAATAATATTAAAACTTAACTTTTTTTCTTCTTCTTTTGACAACGCTTTGGCATTACATGTAAAGACATAATGCATATCTTAGTTCTTTGTGGGGAATACCTTTTTTCTGTATTGCTTATATCCATGAAATGATGTAAGATGGACCAAGCGAAACAAAAGAAAATGGTTCATCTCCACAGAGCGAGGAAAAAAGGTCTCTTCCATTAGCTAAAGAAATTGTACCTACTCCTTTCTGATCAATGATCAGTATCACAGGTATTGAATTGCAAAAAAAAGGCAAAGATTCTTTAAAGACTTCTCTTTTAGTTGGAAAATGCAGGAAACAGAATGTAAATACCTTGTGTATAGTAAATACGTCTCTGACAAAAATGTGACAGCTTTCATTAAAGGTTGAGTTGTTGCTCTGTTACGTGCTTGGCAGAGCTGACAATGGGTGACCCTGTTCAGAAGAGGTTTTGCTCTGTGCAGCATAATTTCCCATTACTACATGTCACACCTACTGCCAAGGATTCCCATGGGAGAATACACACATACACACAAAACACACGCTTGCACATACTGATGATACCCACAATGCTTAGCAAACCATCACCCCCAAAAGCAAGCAGCACACTCTGGCGCCTGGCCAACAGAGCAACGTTTTCCCGACAACCTTCAGCCAACTCCCCAACTAGACAGTTACTCAAGAGGAAAAATCATCGAAATGACACTGATGAAAGAGCAAGCCACACACCAAAGCAAAAAAGTTTGAGAGCCCTGGGAAAACACTCTTCATCCTTTGTGACATTACAAAACGGATGAGCTGAGGCCTACCTGGGGGACAGGACTCAGCAAAGACTTGTGGAAGTTACAGGCCAAATATGACACTCATCTGTCACGGCCAATTTCCAATGGTATTCATTCCATGTTATTTGAACATATATGCCAACACTTTTTTTAATCAGAATAACTTGTTCTTTGTCTTTGCAGTTAGATAAGAGTTTGTCTGACAAAATACATTTTTGTTAAGTTGCTTTCTTAATAGTCCTTGGTCCTCTAATGGTTTACTGTTCTTATATTTTCATATTAATTGTTTTTCTCCTCACTTGCAAAAGAAAAACACCTCTAAAAGTGTTTCCAATAAGTTGAAGTTTTTTTAATCATTTTGAGCTGCTTTGCACTTTAGAGGGAAATATTGCAATTTGTTCCAACAAAACTTTTATTAAATATTAAAATCAGATATGTATGTTAAAAGCTGACATTCATGAAGATACATTTCTCAATGAATAAAACATTAAACTACAAGCTACACGAATAAAGTGCTGATAATTATATATACATTAAATGTAAATGATGCATCACGAATGAGCCTATAATTTACAGACCATTATTGCTAATATTTGTGCTTTTGATATATCTAAAATCTAAGTTTTTATTCCCTTACTTGAGTGATCTGAACTGTTTTATTGCCAACAACAATTTTCAGAGTGGTGATGCGTACATTGATGAATTTCCACTGTGGAACCACTGTTCTTTCTCAAAAATAATTTGTAATCTAAATGACATGTTGAACTTGTGCACATCTTTTTATGTTCGGGCCAGCTGAATAGCTCCCTTTTGCTTCAGAATAGCAGTGGAATATCTCCAGGGCGTTATGAGTGGTTCATATTCATCAGTGCTGGCTCAGGGGACAACTGATGCCCAAAGGAATCCCTCACTTAAAGAGCTTGAAAAACGAGGAGAGAAACAATAAGGAGAGAAACAATGACACTATTTGAGAAAAAATGTATTGGAGATGTAGCTGTTGGTATTGGGTTAGGCTGTCAGTTTAAAACTTTGAGTTAACTAATTGGCATGGGCAAGTATATTTATACTTGCAAATGATCATCATTATTGCACCCCTCATATCAAATGCACCTCAACAAATGGAAGTTAAAAGAACATTGAACTTTTATTGCCAATCGCTCGCAAAATACATCTTACTGGAATGTTACTGGATATACACATAAGAAATTATAGAAATCTATAAGTTATATATATTGTTTTTTGTTCATTCCATTTTACGTTAAACAGGCAGAATGGAATGGTGCAGTGCTTCATTTCACTTAAGTTAAAAAGTAAGTAAAAGTAAGTAAAAGTAAGTTGCCTACATTGATTTGGCTAAAAGGCGGAGCTCATGGAGCTTTAAAATTAAGGGGGAGCTCTTGTTATGGTTCAACCAGCAGTCTTGTGACTTTCTGTGATGAGCAGGTTAAGTGGGGTGAAAATAATACTTTGGTAATCAAATACAACTTACCACATTATAATTCCAGTGAGGGACAAAAGTTCAACCAATTGTATGTCAGGCAAATGGAAAAGTGAACCCTGCGAACTGGTTCAAAGTGAAAGCATTACATGTGAAATTGGTGTTTGCATTTGCACGACACGTTTCGTGTAATTATGTTAAGAACTTCTTTCTCCCTCATTCTTTTTTTGACAATTTGTTTTAAAATGGAAATTAGTGTGTGCTCACAATTGCATGCATCCAGGCATTAAGAATAAATTGGGATTTTTTTTAAGGCTTCAGGTACTTGTAATTGAAATGACTCCAGAGCAAATTTGTATAAAATTTCAATTCATTAGCTGTGAATTTATGAATCATGAGCAATTTGCTCTCCTTAAGTCTCCTCAAACATGTCTAACTCAAGATGCTCATCAAAGTGGGAAAATAATGCAAATTAATTAAAAAAACAATAACAACAATGACAACATGGGCACAAAAGAATCAACAGACAAATTATAAATCATCTGGATGGTGCCACGAGTGTCTCATGGGCACTGAGACAAATCAGGGATTCATCCACCGCTTCCTGTGTCTGAGTTATCCACATTATCACCAACAGAGCATCTTTCAATCTCTCTCTTGCTCCATCCATCTATCTACTTTGGAAATTGTCTGTTCACAACAGCCTTCGGCTGTCTGGTTCACATATAGCCTCTTTTCTAATGATCAAAGAGGTCATCTGTAGACTTAAGCTACACCTGTCACTCAGCTTACACAGAGTGTCAATCACTGTCCAACACTTGCTCTACAACACCCCTACTGAAGATAAAATCCAATACAAGCACGATTCCATGACTCTGTGGCCATTATTAAAAGAATTTCACAGGAAGCCAAAAATCTATCTAAAAATTGAATGGATTTTGTGGGATTTGTTTTGCTAATACTTCTTTACTGAGGTTTACTTTTGACATTTCAGTGCCTTTTTTTTATCATGTCAATTTGGCAAGCTATTTATAGCCAATTAGGCTGCATGGCACTACCATGGAGAGGAGAATGAATGAGAATATTTAGAAACTCTTTGTATCCCTCCTATCTAGCTGTGTGGCGCAGCTCAGAGTCCCTACTCTCAGCATCAGAGACGCGTTGATAGATAACGTTACTCAAGCAAAAGATTTGCCCCCCACTAACATTCAGCATGTGTGAACAATGCATGCGCTCTGGCACTGACACTAAGTATTATGATAATCTAGTGCTCAGCAAAATGATGGATGTCTAACAGCACGACCTGGCTGCACGACACACTGATGAGCTCTGTGCACGCCAATACTGTCAAGTCATCCCACGCACTATATATATATATATATATATATATATATATATATATATATATATATAGAACCCCATAAGGACATACAAACAATCAAATCGACTTTATGGACAACAGTGTCGAACAACCACAAGGCAGAATAGGAATATCCAGTAAAAGAATTCAAATGTAAAAAAGACTCACAAACATTCACCTAAATGTGCAGGGTAATATGGAATATAAAACCCCCCATATATTTGAATAAGTCTCCAGAGATACTCCAAATGCCCAAAGCACAGAGCATATTTCTCCTCAAAATTGCCACAATTTGCTCATGAATTAGTCATGAGCAAACATGACATATTTTGATCTACCTTTAAATCCGTAATTACAGTGTGATTCCATGTCACAGGAGTTGGGCTGTGAAAAAAGTTAGTGCTGCATATCATCTATTACGTATGTTTTACTAACTGATGCCAACAGCAATACACATCATCCTTCTGAAACAAATCAAAGCTCTCACACGCACAAATAAGCTCAAGGAGGAATTTCAGCGTTGATATCGAGCTATATTTATAGCTTAGAAGAAATCTTTATGAAATTTTGTTCAGGATCATGGAGATATTCTGATGATATCCTCCCAATTCCTCTGTTGTCATGCTGTGAAAAATATGTGTTTAGAGAAAGGAAAAAAGGTGGATTGAATCTGTGATAATGTAACCGCACCGGAAACCTCCTGGGCCTCGGACATAATAGCTTGCCACTATCCATCAGCATATCATGCCATTTTTGTGAACAAAACAGCATGCGACAGAGTACTTATTAAAACCAATACGTCCAAACACTTATCCCTAAAATCCTTGTTGGAGAAAGAAGAAAAAAAAAGGTTTCTGCTTTACTGAATCTTTGACAATAGTTACTACTTTGTAATAAAATGTCATTAAAATTAAACTCCCAGCAGAACGGTATTGTGGATGATCATTTAAGAGATTTCTTGGAGGAGGTGATACTGAGACTAACATGTGATTATAACATCTTTCACTGACCAAAACATAAGTATTCTCAGGGTGTTTAAAACAGGCAGCTTTCAGCAACAGCCAGCAGAAATGGCCATGCACTTTGGATTACAAGAATAATGACTTCACATACGATAGGCTGATGCGAGAAACTGTACATTTCATGAACGAGTCAATTTTTCCCGAGTAAATGTTTTTCAACCATGGCATGCGTAACTGTAACTGTAAAATGAACTGCCAGTCCAATGAAAATCCTTGTCTGTTTTGTTCTCTGCTGGGCAGTATACAGTTCTGTTTTACAATCATTCCACTGAAAAACAGCAGTCTGCTTCAGAAATACACCTCACTGATAGAATGTTTAGAGTTCAGCAAAAGAGGAAAGCTGGCTGAATAACAAAAGCAGCAAGCTGAAGATAACAGAAAGATCCAGAGAATTTAGAGAAAATTGCTGAAAAAGCCGTTGTCCTGTTTAAAAAATACTAGTCATGTGACTCACTATTAATGTGACAATAGTTATAGTTGCATTAAACTATAGATTTAACAGGCTTCCGATATCCTGAAGCAATTTGGTGTTTTGATTACGAAGATATCTAAATTCTGAATAAACTCAGAAGGGCCTAAGGGAAGCTCTAATGTTCACTGTTAAGCCATAATCCTAATGGGAATTGTAAGAAGTTATACCCTCTATCCAAAATGCAGCTAATCCACAACCGTCCTGCTACTGTGGCTAAATGTCATAACCTGCTAGTTCTTTACTGGTACAAATGGCTCACATTTTGGATACAAAAAGATACAGGGACTTTGTGAAATTTGTACAATGATTAAGTTTGCGATAACAATTTACTGACTCAATGGAAATATGAAAATGTGTTCTTTTTTTTTTACATTAATTCATTTAATCAATTTTTGCTTCTTGGTTTGATTTGGAATTTTATCAGACAGTTGGAACTTTGTGCATTTCTTCTTTCACTGCAAATAATTGATTAGGTGTCAATTCCCTAAAGAACTTTTCTCATTTGTACAATGAAAATCCAGGCTGTCATTCTTCTCTTTCAGTGACACATCCACTTCCATTCTATACTTCTCTTTTTGTGAATGATTTTTAATCCCATTTTCTTACTCCTGTACTTGCTTCGTTCTACATATAGCACACATCCATGCAACAGGAGACATGTACATGCTTTGGATGAGTGGCCAATAAGAAAAACTCATCCATATAATGCATTGGTGAAATCGTATTAAAAGTGCACGCCTGTGCTCCCAAAGTGACTTTGAATGTCATGCAGGATGAAGTGGGCATAGCACATACATCAGCGTGGCCTTGGTGGTGGATGATTTCAGCGAGCATGCGGTACAGTCTGGCTTTGGAACAGGATTATCCCTCCCCTGGCAACCTTCCTCCAGAGTGTTGACATTCAGGGATGGTTGAGGACAGGCGTAAACAACACGAACATCAGAAATATTGTTTTAATCGATCCTCCAATCAGCTCAAAAGAGGAACACCACAGTGGGGGAGGCTGAAGGATGGGAGAAGGAACAGGTGGTGCACGGATATCTTCAGGGGTGCACACACAAGACAGCTACGCTGAGCCCACGCTCACTTCTCCCACAAGACTTCTCCCATCTTCTGCTAATCAATAAAATCATGAACTGTAACCACTGACTTACATATTATATATACATTTTTTGCATTGTGATTTTTCTTTTTTTTGTGCACCGAGGGAGAATTTTGCCATTGCTGCATTTGGGAATGTGTAAACGTATGACGGTTCTGTGTAAGTGTGAGAAAGAGGCTAAAGTTACACACATTTTATTTCAATAAAAATTGTAATTTTCAGCAATCTGCAGTAAACTGTATTCTTTATTATGATAATAATCTAACCTAACGTAGTAATAACAGTCTTTTGTAGTTATTAGACTTTATTTTTGCCACTGTAAAAGATTATTTACTTATTGATACATAATGTGATTTGAGATTTTTAGTCCAAATAAAATCTTATCTAAACATTTATTCAAATCAAATCTTTCATTTAAAGTTACATTATAGTTTGCAAAGAGTTTTGCTCATTTTGAAGCAAAATTAAACATCACTTCTGCACTTTAGGGAGCATTTATTCCCCCTTAACAAACATCGGCTCTCAAGCTTTTCTGGTATGAGAGCTGTAATCGCTTAGTGGCGTTATTTTATCATTACAAGGCTATCATTAGAACTGATCGATCTCCGGTGATCCGTGGCGTGTCTCTCTAATTACTAAGTGAACAAAGAGCCTGGAGCGTTTGGACAGTAAGTGGGATAAGGGGCGCGGAGTGTGAGGAGAACAAACGAGAAGGCGACGCAGGCTGGATCCCAGCCTCTACTATTATCCTGCTCTGTACTTCCTGACTGCAACCCGCCCACGGAGCACCATTACAATACAGCTGTCATGAAAACAGTGCTATCCGCGGCCAAATGCGGCCAAAAGTACAGACAGCATCCAGCCCACTAAAGGTCAAAAGAAGGCGCCAGCACCACCTTAATCACTGATGCTCAATGCTTGATAAGGGCTTACATTTCCCCCTCTCCGGAAAGCGTTTATTTCAGCCTGACAATATGCTCTAAATGTTCTGTGTGACGGCTGCTGTTATTTCCAGTAGCGCTGTTATTATGGAAGTTTTGACAAAAAAATGTATTCACTTGCAAAACAACCCGCCATCCCGCGCGCTCTCCTGTCCCGCGTCCCGCCCCCTTAACTGGCCTCAACAGGGATGTCCGGCACATGATAGTTAATGTAAACACACAAAGGCGTTTTCAGCTGTAGTATTCACGTGGATTGGCCGGACGCCGTAACCATTAACCCTGTACTTGCGAGCCTTTCGCCTCCACGTGTTCCCCCCTCTCACGCCTCTCCATGTACACATATATGTTTGGATGTGCGTCTGCGCGCGAGGGGTTCCTCGGGGCTCCCACACTGTCCCAAACATCTGTAAATTAACACTGTTTTTTTCCCTGCCCCACAACTGTGCCGGGACCTGCTTTTTTTTGCATTTCTTTTTCTCGCCACCCCCCTCCTCTATCTATCCCCGCAGCATCCCAAAAGTAAAAAAAAGAGCAAAAACAACCCACCTTTATGCATTCCCGTAAACCTGTCTTTCAGTACAGTGAGTTCGTATATCTTTCCGAATTCCTCAAACAGGGGTTTCAGATCTTTTTCTTCCAGGTTTCTGGGAATCTGCCCGATGAAAAGCTTGATGGCGTCGTGGTCCTTCATTGGAATGGTGTTCTGGCCGATGGTAAGCCCGTTCATCCTGCCGGCGCTGTTCGTGGTGCTGAATCCATTCTCTTGCTGCACTCCGTTTGCAGTGACTGTAGCCATCTTTCCTCAATGGGCCGGCGGGCTGCACTCTCTCTCTCTCCCTCTCTCTCTCTCTCTCTCTCTCTCGCTCTCTCTCTCCCTCTCCCCCCTTCTCCCTCTCTCTCTGTAGTCAACTGCACAGTGCCACAGAGCACACTCTCCCCCCCTCCCTTATATCTTCTTGTCTCCCTACTCCTCCTCCAGTTCTCCTCCCTCCCTACTTTTCTACCTTTACAGCCTATAAGCTGCCTTGCTTGGAATCAGCCCTATTTATTTTATCTTGTGCTTTATATGTTTTCATTTTTAGGCGCCCCTACCCGCCAAGCGTCTCCACTCTGTCCTCTGACGTAAGATCGTACTTTATGAACAAACCACGCCCAATTTACAATTTCCATAATGAGCCAAAACCTAGGCCAATGGGAGAGCGGAAAAGGCTCATGGCTCCACAAAGCAGAGTAAGCAAACACTTTTATTGGCTGGAATTATTCTTAAATTATACAGATGTATTATTTGAGCCTGTCTTGCACCCTTTGTTTGGCAATATAACGTTCCAGTAAGTTCCAATAATAACAAATAGCATTTTTATTACTTTAGTTTAGTTTTTGAAACACCTCCAGAACCAATTTAATTGTATAAACTGTTTGAAGGGGGGGCAAATATGTGGACTGTGATGAAGAGAGAGACCATATCTCAAGTACTTTCATGCTGTTAATGTTTTTTGGGGGGGATTTCAGTTTAATATGTATTTAGAAATATGTAAATAATAAATATTTAAATGAAAAGTTTTTTAAGTTATAGAATTAGTACAATCCCACAACCTTTGACATATGGAAAAGTTACAGCGAAAGGTTTGCTGATAGGCAACGACCCTAGAAGACTGGACATTTTCTCAAGACTGATGATTATGTGTGTGTTTTATTTTGTTTTTCTCCTCTAGTAAAATATTAAACTTTTTACAAAAGAGGAGGAAGAAAAGAAGAAAATGCACCTACAAAGGAAAGACAATGTGGAAATATGGCCACTTAAATGTCATCAAACCTCACTGATGCCATGGTGTGTCACTGTCCATGGTGCTGAACCAGACCTGCCTTTCACAGGCCATAAAATCGGTTGTTGGAGCTACAGCTTTAAGAGTTCTTGTTTGCACTACACATTCTGTCTGCTCTCTATTTATCTGCTGTGCACATTTCAAGCCCTCCTGTCCTTTCTCTCAAACATAATGATGCATTCAATGGCTCTCTTCTGAGTAGTTTCATTATTCATGCAAGTGAGTGTATCCACTACCCATGTTTCTTAACCTGTACACTGTATTATGTGCACAGAAAATGCCTAATTAAAGCAGATAGGTATGTATTATCAACACAAGGCAAGTCCAGCACATACTGACAAGAGTAATTATACTTGTTAGGACTGCTATTTATGTGAATCATATAAAATATCAATAATTGATTGTATATACCAGGTGCGCTATAAAAATGTGAAGGGATGTATGATTGTGTCTGCACTCTTTTTAAGTATTCAAGATTGAGCGAGGAGGTCTGTCACATCTCAAGAGGTGGTGCTTTCTATGAGCCTGACCTCTGATCCTGTTGGGGAATTTGAATTGTGAAGATATGCTATACACCATCTTCTGGGATAAAGGTATATAGTGTATCTCCACTGAAAGGCATTTCCCAAAGATTATTATCTTATTTTATATGACAGTTTGCCATCAATATCTTTTTAGTTAGCCACTTAGTGTCTGTATGAGAGATTTTTAAGAGACAACTAGGTGATAAAAGAAGAAAAAATACAAGAAAAGAATATATATCACACAACAAAATGAGAGGAGCTTGCAGTTGTGGATGAGCCAACCCAGGGGGAAGTGTCGAAATGTACCCAAAGAACTTATTTGGTCACCAGGTAGTTGAGAAATCAGCTTTGATTTGCTGTTTGCTTTGCCGGCTTTCATACGTGTCTACACCGCTGATGGTTGTCGGAGTGGGTGGTCTTTCGGGATGGGTTATGTTTTGAGAGTAACACTAACATCTGGTACTGCGCTCTCTTTGTTCTGACTTGCAGTGGGGTAGGGCTATGGGGTCTGAGGTATGAGGTCTAGAGATTGAAAATACAACAGACCTCCCTTGTCAATACTATTGGGGCCATTATTTCCCAGAAAGACGTGACTAATTTGGATTGTCTACAACTCCACTGGCACTGTGGCTTTTTGAATATTTTCTACCATTTTTTGTCACTCCTCTGTGGGATAGCTGTAAAGACTTCGAAACTACCTAGCAGGAGGAAATATGATTTCTTCTTGATATCCTCAATTATACCCCAATATATAAGGATCATAGTCAGGTGTATCAGTAGTACTACTCTTATCTGAGTAATGACCTTGGACAGTTGCAATACTACTACTTCTACTACAACTAATACTTCTCCTACGACTACAAATACTACTACTACTACTTCTACTACTACTGCAAATAATACAACTACTATTTCCCATTCTTGTTCATGAATTGGGGACAAACATTCAAGGAGAATCAGCATGAGGAAATTAGGTTAAACCCCTATTAAGTGTATTGCATAGACACATCTCAGATTTCTTATTATAAGCATTGTTTTCATTTTAGAAATGAATCTCGGTGTGAGGACGGATGGGGGAAAATAAAGTGTCAAAAATAATTTCCAGACTCGTGCAAAATTTATTTACCCTGTCGATTTCACATTGTACAACTGCTATTTCCTGGACCTGAGTGTGGACCTTCTCTGTTTTTATTACTCAAATTATTCACACCGCTGTCAAGGTGACTTGTAGGAATGTCACAGACACACCACTTGAACAGCTACAAAAATATAGTTCCTTGAAGAAGCCAATCAGTGACATAAGTCATGCATAGTGCTTAAAAGCTTGGTGTCATGCACAATCCATTCATACCATGTGTTCATTATACCATTAAACTGGATATATGGAGTGGGCTGGGTTGAAAGTAGTCATGCATGAGCTTTTTTTTTTCTTGTCTGTTTTCTAGAGTAAGTCTAAAAGGGGAACAGCCATTGATATTCATGGCACAGTCAGTGTTAGGTGTGACAGTATTTTTGTGAATCTCAGAGAGTATATGGTAATACCAGAGCAGCCTCAAACCTCGACTGCAGTCTCTGCCTGAGGGAGGGGTGCACTGCCCCCTCACACACACACACACACTGTGCAAGATAAAGAATAACTTGCTCAGAAGCCATCATTTTTTCTTAAAACACAATTTCCAGACAGTTTGCTTGCCTCAGTGCTGTAAGGAAGACACAATAGTAATTGTTCATTTTCTTTTTTGCTAAATTTAGTTTTGTTAATTCCTATTTTGGAGAGGTTTATAACATGTCTAATTTTTTTTTTCTTTACAGTATATGTATATTGGGCGCTGCTATTAAGGTGCTGTTGTAAGATAAACAGACATCATCATGCATGTTTAAATTCACTGGTGATGAAATATACTGGATAAATGAGAGAAAAACAAAGAAGAGGTCAGTAAGACAACAGTGAGGCATCTGCTTTCTGAAAACTAATGAATCCCACAATCCACTGTGCAGGCCTCCCCCGAGTACAGTCGATAAGGTTTTATGTGCTGCATGTAAATGCTGCATTTGGTTTTTGTTGAGAACTCGCTGAAAATTAGTTTATTGCATAAGATTGTAAATAGGTAGGGAATGTACTTACATATATACTGGTAGAATGTTTCTCACAGGTTTTAGAGCGTTACACTTTGAATCTTTGTTTGAAAGCTGCCTTCTGTGGTGGTCGAGCAGTTAGAGTACATACCATATATGGCAATGTCAATTAATGGTAATAAACGGTTTTGAATCCCAACAGTGTCAAAAATCAAATCTCCAAAAAGAATTAAAAAAAAGGAAAGTCCATTGTGTTTGCCTTTTGGTCTGAGTTTGTTCCCACCTGCAGCCAAAAGCATTCTTAGCAGCCAGGGTTTGTTTCTTGTGCCACATAATTAGCAGCAGATTGTTTGGATTCTGTTATAGGCTGGGTTCTTTGTGGATTGTGCTTGTACTTGCAGAAAAATATGTATGTATGTATGTATGCGGAAAGAGTATAAGTAAAATACGGTAAATGTTTTCAATTTATGTCTCTTCATTGAGAATAAAGGTTTCTTAGCAGAACATTGTACTGTGACAACATACACTTACCACCTGTTGGTGTTTTTACTGTCATAGCTGACGGATGTCTACAGGATGCATGTTGTGGCAATCAGGGGAACAAACAAGCATTTAGATTCCCCCTTTTCTCTTACTTCCTATCCATTATGTTGTTTATATAGAACTGATGTCCTTTCCCTACCAACCTAAATTCAGCACAAGTGTGTGCAGCCATCAAAAAGCATTGCCTCACAAGTAAAGTTAATGTTCTTATCTTCTTATGAAGTGATATTTAAACTTTTTGTGGTCTTTTTGTGGACTTATCACTGAAATAGAAGATCCGGGTGAATTACCCTGAGTTCAAGGTTCCTTTTATCATGTTTTTTCCTTTCATATGAAATGCATTAAAGCTGTTTTCAAAGACTATCAGAACTTGTACTGTATTATGATCATCAGAAAATGACGTAGTTATTTTATCATACAAATATCAGATTTGTTGTAAGACCATTAAACTGCAGCAAACTAAGGTACTGGTTCCACGCCACAAAGGGAGCTTGTTCTAAAATTATTGTTTTTATCATTTTTCTGTTTTAAGGGCAGGATAAGCTGACTGGAGAGTTAGGAGGTGAGGTTGAGGTATGGGGATGAGACTCAGGATGCAGACAGCATCTCATCCAGCAGTCTTCAGGCTGCCTCTGAGGATTCTCAAGAGAGCAGACTTTGAAGAGTCAAGAAAAGGCCAAAAAGAAGGAGAAGAACTTACTGTAAGCTTAAACAATGTCAACCCATTTCCAAAACAGTTTGGACATTTTTACAAGTGGTGTTTTCTCCGTTGTGTTTTGGTCTTCTTTGTTTCACCTTTATCCCAATGCAAGTCCAACAAACTATTGCAA